ACAATGTGGTTCATTCATCTCTACTCAAGCAGACCGCTCTCCCAAGTCTTCCTACGCGCAAGTTGCGTGTTTTGTGGACCCTGCAAGCAAGCTACCCGCATTTCTTTTATACATCCTTTGGGATATATGGAGACATGCTACCCCACGCCCCAGTGTTTTGGTTTTCGAGGTCGCCTTTCTGCCGTATGTGCCCCTCTAATTCCGCTATCGCAACACCTTCGCATGTCTCTCGCAAGCATGCTCACGAGTCTGCCCACCTCTCTTTATCGCGATTCTGCCACTTTCCACCGCAACGCCAGCCATGCTGGCTCGAATTCAGATGTTTCGTTTTCTGACTAGAAGCATGCCCAGAGCAGTTCCACGCATATTGCTCACTGTTGGTGTGCATATGTGGTCAGGATGGCGGATGGGAGGCCTTCCGCGCTTTTTTCTGCTGCTCAACAAAACGTCAAAAGTGTGAACGCTTGGCTTGGGTGTCATTCGCATGTTGCCGAGTGCTCGCTCATATCTGTTGACCGCCCGGCAGCTAGCTTGCCGCTTAAGGTGTGCCTGTATTCAGCCGTACAGATGGTGAAGGCTTCGGGGGTGCCCGTAACAGCTACATGAGTGTGAAACTGGTTTTGCAAGGCTGACTTCATTGGCGTCAGTCCCGATGCTGAGCCTGAAGCTTCCGAACTCCGGTGGCGATTTGTGGCAGCGCAATGTCGACTCCGACATGGGAGGGCGTGCACGACATTTGTTGAGATGATTTCATTTGGCCAATATCAATATGATGCCGACACTGCAGAACCGTGCATGGTTGAAGGCATTCTGAATGAAATGCACGGCAAGAGCGACTTGAAGGAATCGGGTCGCGAGGATGAAGAAACTCTGATTATGCCACGAGCCTCGGCAAAGAGCATGCTGCCGCTTTAATAAAGGGGGAACGCCTCATTAAAGAAAATTTATTTTTGAGTTAATTTTGATCAAACTTCCATCCTTTATGTATTTTGACATGCTGATTTCAAATATGCAATTACTTTTTCTGTGCGACAAGTACTTTGCAAAATATTGAGAAATTCATGTTTCTTGCATTGACATTGGAGGTGAGTTTTCTTTTGAATGCTAGTAGTGATCAAAGACAGAGGCATATGAAAATGATGTTGTACAGTGAGAGCTTGCAGTCCTGCAAGGATGAAAGCTCTCCACTGATTTGTGCCAAGGTTACAGCATGTCAAACGTTTGTAAGCAAAAGCTTTGATAACACCCTGGAAAAATTACTACTTTTTGAACTTTTTGAAAACATCACTGATGTTATTCGTTAAAATCTTACACCTACTGCACTCTCTATTTGTCCCCTTTTCTAACAAAACAAGATTCACTGCAATAGGATAAGTACCACAAGAGATATCGTCACTCCAAAACTACACCATGATCAAAAACGCAATTCTGAAAAAATGAAAAAAAATTTCAGGATAAGTTAGCAATAATTATGGAAATTTCTTGAACACTACAGTGATCGAGGATGATATACGGGTACAATCAGGCAAGAATGATTATTTTACAGTAATCTCGAATAAAATTAGGGCATCTGAAAATTTATTTGTAAAACCCAATTAAAACTTCAGAAAAATTATTTTTATAAATGTTCTTTAATAATATGTAACTTGTATGTATCAGTCCTACTGCACTTGACAATTCACCACCTTTACAAAAAAAAAAAAAGAATGATTAAGACTGGTTCAGTAGAACAAGATATATTGTTGCTCCGATATCACACCATCAGAAATGCCACTTCGGGGAAACAGCTAAACAAAATTGCCGTTTTATTGTGCAGCCCACCCCACGACAGTCCCATCGACGCGAAAATATCGTTCATAAATGTTTGGCCACTACCCATACACAACATTGCACGACTTTTCATCATTGGCTCTGCGCGTGTTCCATGCCGTCGTCACTTCGGCCAAAACAGCCACACTTCACTATCGATTTCTTAGCGAGGCAGTAGTCGCAGGTCACTTGTGACTAGTTTCGCACACCCGCCACATACTTTGCACCACGCTTTGCACAGGAGTGCAGCCCATTCAGGATCTCCAAGTCGACCATCAAACACAAAACTGCAGTGTCAGCGGCGTAGGCCGATATGACACGTCGCATGCATCGGTGAAAACAGCAGTCTTTCGCGCTGTCGCCTGGTGTATGACCGGTGACAGCGCAGGCATGACCTGCTCACGAGCACTCACTTGGGCTATGTCGCTGCTCGTGACAGCTTCAGTGTGAACTCGCACAAGGCTAGAGTCAGCGCGAAGAATGCAGTTTTTCTTGGGCGGATCACTGTCCGTTACATTGTCGTGGGTCGCTTACTTATCGCTTGTAAAGCCGGACGATAGCATGCCCCGGCACTGCGAGTGGCTTGCTCATCGTTTGCAGAGCGGCGAAATACCATGCCTCTGCGGAGCGGACCGCAATCACCTCCATTGCTGTTATCGAGTGCCAAAGCAACGACGCTCGCCTGCAGATTGCTAGCAGAAACCTGCAATATTGGGCCGGAAGCCCTTTTTTTTTTAAATTTTTGGCATGCCTCCGGCTAATCTGACACACCAAGTGAAACTTTCTCGATCCTCCAAGCACATTTGTCATAGCATCGTAACCTAAGCCAAAATGGCGCCTCAACGAGCCAGGTTTTCAGATACAGTGCCCTAAGCCAATCAAAGGCGCCATTTTAGCCACGTGATCGAAAGTGGCCAATAGTAACGTTTTAGGCCTACTTTCTTTGTCTTTTTTATTTGAGAAAGTGGCAAGCTCAGTGTTACCTGATCGAGTGATAAAGAAAGCCAAACGCAAGAGCTTTTCAAGGATACCAAAATGGCTGCGTCGGAGCGGACCGTTCAAGAGTTACAGGCAGCCGAAATAAACACCATTTGCCCACAATTTAAAGGGCTGGGGGCGTACGAACACATTTTTGATCTGCTGTTACGCCCCTAATACGCGAGATTTCGAAATAAAAACTTGCACACAGGTGCGGGATTGTAGAAAGAATACGAAAACGACACCTTCGATAATTCGATTTTTGGGCAAATTTGCGGGTCCCAAGAACCGTGCTTATCGAACCATCCTTATCGTTTCTCCTAATCGAAACACATGCATTACAAACTTTTTCAGGACAAAAAATTGTTTCTTGACTCGCAACTTTTTTTTAAACCTGTGTTTCATTTAGTACGAACTTCGGGATACAGTGAACAAATGCCGCGTCACGCTCAGGTTCATTATAAGTGGACTCGACTGTACTTGTTTGACTATTCGAAGCATTTGAATATTACCACAAACCTAGCCGTGTGACAGAAATGGACAATGAAAGAACAGAACCACAAGCACTGCAGCACGAGCTAGACTGACATTGTTCCCTTTTGGCGTTTGAGAGTTCGCTTCTCAGTTGTTGCCGTGGCTAGGTCTGATCTATGTTTTGTGCTTTGAGCCTTGCTCTCTTGTTTATTGCTGGAATGCAAGGCCTGATCTATTGAAATCGCCCAGACTCCACTAGTTCCAATCGCGCTGTCGATACAAACGAAGAAACTCTGCAACTACAAGACACTGCTGATTGGGCAAAGAGCCACAATTATTTTCCAGATCGAAAGCGGCTGACCTCAACACAATGTGGTTTGAGAATTTTTCGTGGAGTTACGTCATGATGAGGTTGTCCGTCAGGTCCCCAAAGCGCAGGTGAACAGTGAGTCTGATGAAGCGCTGCCCACAACATTTATCAAATGTAGAATACAGCGCTACAACCTACATTGACGGCCGAAGACTTGCTTAAATACAGGCCGATTTAGTCGTTTAAGATTGTGCTTGTGCGCAGATGTGTACTGACAAGTTTTTCCTGCCACTGAGTAAATAAAGATGTTTTTGTCCTGTTGAATCCACTTTTCGAACTTTTGAATATTTGGACTTTTAAGTGCGGTTCCCGTAGAGCACAAATAAACGGTTGACGAGAGTAATAATAATTGTTGGCTCTAAAGGGACCCTGAAACGGTTTTGGCAATTTCGTACAAACACATTTGGCTGGTAGGCCAAGTCCCAAGGGTTATTTAGAGAGCGATTAGAGCTCTTTGCAGAAACTGTGCAAATTATTACAATATTTTAAAGCTGCGAATCACTGGATATTGATGCTACTCAGCCAAACACATTTTCAACCACCCATTCGCAGAGAGACATGTGCTGGCCATTTGATGAGGCCAGAGCACGTCACCGCGGCTGCTGATCTGATTAGCTGTTATGGGATGTAGAATGCGCAGAAATAAGATTAGCTGGTAGGGTGGCAGCACCACCCGTTAGAGCAGATATCAACTACTCCGCGATCTTCGTATCTGTTGCCAGACGGCGTGCGTGCTGCTGGGTACACTATGTATCCTACGAGACTACGCGCAACTTGTCTGTGGGCCATCTCGGAGGTCTAGGTGAGCAAATGCTCAAATCGTCGAGCGCGCTCATGAGAGCTCTGCGATCACCAGCGATGCCAGCATGTCTCATGAGCTATGAAGGCCAGGCAGAGATGAGGAGAAGGGCATGATATAATTGTCTTTAAGCCTTGGTGCACTGGCATGCCACTGAATCTGGGGTGCGAATTATTTGATGATGCTCTAGCCTAAAAGCTGACAAAACTCAAAGAAAAAAAAAACATTTCAGTGTCCCTTCAATATCCCAAAAACTACCACATGATTATGAGGAACACCGAAGTTCAAGGCTCTGGAAATTTCAACCACCTGAGGTTCCTTAATGAGCATCTAAATCTAAGCTGATGGGCTTCAAGCATTTTTGGCTTAATTAAAAATGCAGCCACCGTGGTTGGTACTCGATCTTGCACAATGCCAAAGGCTTTAGTCACTAAACCACTGTGGTGGGTTGTTTGGCGAGTGTATTACATAAAAAAAATAACTGCACACTTAATTTGAATTGCAGCAATATCTAGCAATATCTCTAGGAACCGATTACTGAATAACTCACAAATATATTTAAAGTTATACCATCAATGACAGCCTCTGTGGCAAGGTGGCGGACGATGGTTTCATGAGCTTCATTCCAGATTCCACCCTTGAGAAGGAAGATTGCTTTGTCCTTGAAGTTGCCTTCAGTGCTGGCACGAATTGCCTGCATTGAATACAAAAATAAATTGGGTAGCGAAATATTCATTATAAAAATGCTTGCATTCTTACTATGCTCAGCAAATTTATCGGTTTTGTCTTGCAATGTCTGCCTAGATTTTCACCTAGTGCATTTATGACCTGGACCTTGCCACTCATAGAAACTTGCTTTGTTTTTCTGGCTGCTATTAATTGACTCAGCATTTGCAGGATTGCACCGTCAAAGGCAATATTTTTTGCAACGGAACTTGAGTGAAGGTACAAGATGACTGCACAATTCTTATAGAATTTGTAGAGTCCTTAAAGAAAATCAAGTTGAAGAAAAAAAACTGTGCCCTATAATTAAACGCATATTAAATACACCAAATATTGAAAGCCACAGACCTTGGCATGGTAAACCCAAGCAGGTGGAACAGTCAGTTTGTCACAGACAAAAGTCTCATCTTCGGTGAGGCCAGTCTCAGGATCAGAGCCCCTGAGTGAACCTGACGCGTGTCGCACAAGAAGCTCAGTGACGGCTTTTTGGCGCCCCGTGGCATCCTCCAAGTGCAGCAGAGCAAATACTGCCCAAGGCCACAGGCCCCACGACTCGAGCTGTGCTGCAAAGCTTGTGTGCAAGGTCTCGGCTGCAGTTGCGGACAGATGGCCAAAGCCAAAGGACTGCAGCAGCTTGTGCAGCAGCCAGCTTAAAGGCAGGAGAGAAAAGCAATTAATGCTTATACTAACGCTCGAGCAGTAAGACAAAATAAACACAAGTGGGCAAGTTGGTTATGACACACAATTGCAAATGATGCGAAAAACACAATAACCACAGTGTTGATATGACTAATAGAGAATATGGCTTTAACGAAAAGTAGCAGATAATGAAGCAAGAAAGACTTTATTATCTGCTGGTTGTCATTAGGGCTCTGCCAAACAAAGAAAATGAGCCTTCGAAACTTTCTTCCTCCATTCATAAAAGAATATGGTCCCATTAAGGGGATACTAAAGAGCAGAAAGACTTTTCGCACATTAGTACAGTACAACTTAATGATACCGAAAACACTACTCTTACGCTGACACGACGCTTAGTTAGCATGAAAACGCACGGAGAAAAAATGCGGATGGTGATGCCACCTTGAGATTCCCACACCAAACACCGTGACAAAAGAAAGTTCAAAGGTGTCTAGTGGGCGGTCCTACGTAGCTTCCAATCGATAAAAATGAAGTACATAGTAATCTGTGGGAGCGATAGACTTCACATACAAAGTTTCGGAACATTTCATTCAACCAATGCCATGAAAATATCGAAAATTCATTTCGAAATTTCTTACATCTCGTGCAGAGGTTTTGAGGAAAAACTTGAAACTGTAACTTCACCCTTGATTTTCTCCATTACAATGAACTTGTGATACTCAAAAATATGGAGTTGGAGTTCTCAGAGTGCAGTTTGTCAATCTAAACCAAGTCATTGTTCCTCTTTAGTGTCCCATTAACAGAATATAGGACATACCCCATATAATTACAAAGTTAATGAATTAGGCAATTTACATCGATTTATCAAAAACCTTTTGCAACAAAATTCAAAATTTTTATGCAAAGAACAATTACAAAGAGACTCTTACTTCACATAAAACCTACTGAACAAATGTTAGAACAACAGGGCAGAACAGTATAATGTAGATTTCGATGACGTGAAATGACAAAATGACTTTTTTTGAATCTTAGATACGAATACAGTTGATGCAGCACTGGCATCCCATTTACAGTGGCCACATGTCACGCATAAAGTTTGAAGACATGCAAGTCAATTGACATGTGCAAGCTAAGGTCGCGACCTAATCAAGCTTGTGCGACCATTCTGCTGCCTGGGGTTTGCATGAAAAGCTCGAGTGCTGCACAAAGACAAGGGCTTACTCCGTGAAGCACATGACATCACACACGCCATGGCAAAATGGCGGTCACTGGCTGAGGGTGGGATTTATAGCGGTGGTTTCTAGGGCTCGTTTTGCAATGAACTATTTTTTTTACAATCCATTAATTTTTCTCATATACTGTATTTAGGCTCAAAAGACCCTCTATTTTTTTTTTTTACTGAATATCGCAATTTCGTGAGCAACCATGTCAGTCCCTCTCCCACCATCTGTTTGAACTACACATCTATCTGGTGGCTAGGCCAACAGAACAGGACAAGCTATTTCTTCCCATTTTTGCTAAGCATGTATTGTTCTCCATGTTGTGTGCAGTGCAATGCTCACATGTTCACAGGAGGCCCATCTAAAAACAGGAAACATTCCTTGAAGCTAAGCATCTTTATGATACTTAACTGGATATTTAATGGAAATTCTCACACATAAGCCCCATGTTTTCCAGTCATGCCTGGCAGGCTCACCTAATCCTGAAGTCCAGTTGAGAAGACACAGAGGACACTGGGGCCAGCAGCCGGTCCAACCTCTGGGACTGATCACAGTACAGCTTCAGTAGCAGAAAGCATGTGTCCAACGGTGCTTCAGGGTCCAACACATACGGCTCCTCACCTACATCATCTTTATGACAAGGCGGGTATGGGGGCCGCGCAGTAGGGCCGCAGTGGTTGGTCACTCTGCAATGCATGTGCAAACATTAGAGACCTCTTCTACAGCCATACTGCATTAAAACACTGTCTAGTAAACTGCCCATTTTATTGATATATTTTTTTGAGACTCCTAAAAGTTCATTGCTTGTGTGACACCCCTGAGAGTTCAATGTCAAGAGTTCGACGAAAACTGGATTGGTCAGGAATACTCCTCAACGAATACGCATAGTTTCGGACCTACACGGGAGCCAGAATGTTTGTGTCCTTCAAAGGTTCTTTTTGGTTGGAGTCTCCCTTCTACCTTTTGACCAACAAATCCCATTAGTCCCAATGCACAAGAACGTTTGAAATTTTGCATGCTCGAACTTACCAGCATCTAATTTTTAAAAATTTCTGCTCAAACTGCAAGTCTGAAATGACGTTAACTGAAGCTACCACTGCTGCTACATTGGTCATTTAGCACACTAGAACTAGTGCTCTCTTCAGACAATCTGTTTGAGACAGTAGAAGATTCCAAAAATTAGCTTAGCAATGATGCCAAGGTGTTATGGGGTTTAGCTTATAAAGAATATGAAGGATGTTAATGTCACAGCAAAGTGTGGCGAAGCCTTTACGAATAGATACCGGACATGCACGAATGAAAGACGGCAGCGGCAGGCAGCAAACACACCAATAAATGAATGAAAACTAGGCTCGTACGATTACTCCAATACTTTGAATATTCAAACGAATATTACAGTATTTGAACTCGCTTTGATTCCAATTCAAAATGTTAGAAACATTGAAGCACTTGAAATGAAAGAATAGATTAGTCTTTGCAAATATTCATATGTTTCAAATATTTTAACAAATAAAGCAGTATTCCAATTCACTGTGAATCGAATTTAAGTTATTGAAAATTTTGAAAGGAATGAATAGGCGCATATTAACCCGCATGTGACACCCTGTGAAGGTAGTTTCACTGCAGTAGAAAACAGCTACGCAGTGAAAGCACTTGTCTAAATGTACGCAAATTTACGTTTAAGCAACCTTTGTAAAAATGGTTTCATTGCAGTGAACAAGTGCTAAGCCGTGAAAACACATAGCCAGGGGAAATCCGCACAGGGCGAAGGGTAAATTAGAATATTATTCTCACATCGATACATTTTTATTAAGTTCAAAAGCTTGTTATACCGACTTATATGCTCCAGGTATAGCAAATTTTAGAAAAATAATATATTTTACAGGCTATCACTCACCTTCTACCGAAAGTGAAATCCTGCTACTACTCAATGTTTTTGCCGCTTTCTTTGATGCAAGAAAACTGCATTTGCACAGGCCTAGTTTCAATTTCTTTTAAATATTGTGCAGGTTGGTTACGTCATAACAAATATGCCCATTTTTCTTCATAATATGCGATATATATACTGTTCGAATTCGATTCAAAATTATTCGACCAACCTAAAATGCACTACTCGCACAAGTCTAGAATAGATGTTTACAGTAATGTGATTGGCGAAAGCCATTTTGAAGCAGTTACTTGGAGCAGCCGAAAGTGAGTTTTGGAGCAGGAAAGGTGCTTTCAGAATAGCCAAAATTGTATGCTGTAACAGGAAAAAATAGGTCTTTTGACCCGCTAGAGGCTCGCTACCCAGTGGGAAATTTGAACTAGTAAGAATAAAACAGCTAAATAAATCACAACTAAGCAGCATTCCATGAAGTTGCAAGCATGTACAGCTCGTACTACTAATAGCTAGGGGTGCCAACTGTACCCGATTTTGGGAGATAGTCCCGACTTTTCATTCCGCGTCCAGAGTCCTCCGCCGTCTCTGTCACGACTACTAAATATCCCAGATTTGTTTTGGACCATTCGGTTACATTTTTTGTGAGATCCAATGTTTGCCCAACAACATGCGTCACGCTTTGGAACACAACGTTATCACGAATCACATGCACGAAGCAATGTGGCGGTGGCTAGCTGTGACTGCGAGGGGTCAGGAAGTGGGACAACTTTTACTAGTACCGTATTTACTCGACTATTAGGTGCACTTTTTTTTTTTTCAGAAAATCCGGCTCGAAGTTAGGGATGCGTCAATTACGCAGGGTAAAATTTCAGAAAATTTTTCGACTCGATTCTTGCGCTTTAAATCTGCACAATTGTCAAGTAAAAGGCGACTTTATCGTTTACCAATTAATTCAGCATAAAACAAACATATTTACATACCTTTTATTGAACAAGCAAGAGCCATCAACTGCTCACACACACGTAAAATTTATTTACACAAAAGTAGTAGGTGTTTCTTCTTTTTTCTATTCGGAGTCCGAGTCGGAGAGCACACATTCATCATAGCTGAGCGGGGATTTGTTTTTGGTGTGCGAATCATCAACACCCCACAACATGTCATCCTCACTCACATTCAGTGTGTTCGAGATACCCGTCTTCTTGAAGCTTTTACTGACGACTACATCGGAGATCGCCTGCCAAGCTTCCACAATCCAAGCGCACAGCATTTCCACAGGCGGCCTCTTAATCTTACCACCTGGAGTCAGCTGATGTCCTCCAGCCATCCAGGCAGTGTACAGCCTTCGAACAGTGTCCTTGAAAGGCTTATACAAGGACACATCCAAAGGCTGCAGTATCTATGTGAGGCCGCCCGGAATCACTGCCAGGTCTGTGCGCAGCTCCTTTAGCTCATCTCGTACGCAGTGTACTAGGTGCCCATGAAATCTGTCCAGGACAAGCATGAACGGTACAACAGACCGCCCGGACGCCGACCCCAGACTGTTTTCCCCCAAATCACCACGAGTTCCACGCTCATCCAGCCTTCTTCCTGGACTCTGACACTAGATGCCTTAAGGAAAATTTGCTTTTGGGAGCGTCTTACGTTTAAAAATATCGTAAGGCAGTATCTTGCACCCATCCGCTGTCACCGCCAGCATTACAGTGCATCGTTGTTTATCAGCGCTAGGCGGTCTGACGATGACGCTCCGTACACCTTTCTTCTCCCCTGTCGTGTTCCACGGCATATCAAAGCAAAGGGGGGTCTGATCAGCGTTGCCGATCTGGGACAAAAGGAAGTCTTTCTACTGTCGGAGCATTATAACGAAATGGTGGAAGTCTGCCACTTCGTCCTCGTATGGTGCGGGCAAGCGCTGGCACAAGTTGGTACGCCTTCGCAGTGCGAGGCCATGGTGCCGCATGAAAAGAGTTGTCCATCCGAAGCTGGCTTTGAGCTCCTTTGCTTCGATGCGCTGCACTCGGGCTATTTTGCGCACCTCAGTCTGCACAATATCCAATGACACAGCACAGCCGTCTTGTCGTAGCTCCCGTATATGCCGGACTAGCTGCTCTTCGACGTTCGGATACCTGCCGGTCTTGGCACTGCAGAAAGACCGTCGTGTCTTCTTCATCACCTTAGGCTTTCTTCTTGAAACCCTCCAGTACCGAATACTAGTTTCTGCAACACTGAAATGCCTGCTTGCAGCCCGATTTCCATGCTCCAGGGCGTACTGCACTGCCTTCAGTTTGAATCCTGCTGTGCAGCTGGCGTACCTCCACATGGTGAAACCAAAGTTGAATACACGACTACAACATACACACACCGCTCGCAAAATAGCGCTTTTTTCTTTTTCTCTGATCGTGGTGGTGGCGATCGATCCCCGGCGTTGTACACGTGACCTCCAAAGAGCGGTGCGATTTGCGAGTATCACTAATTTATGGAGCAGCAGCTTTTTTTTTTTTTTTTCGGTCATGGATGCTTTTTGTTTCTTTCAAGTTTTATTTCGACAAACACGTTGGTTAGGTCGTTGCACTTCGATTTTTAATTATTTGCTCGTCGATTTGCCTTCTTTTTTTCTTCAGAGTATGGGGATCAGCGTTCGAACTGTACTGCTAGGGGGGTAGAATCATTCTTGATCACGGCCAAGTTCAGGGGGCGTCTATTATGCGCGGAATTAAAACAAATTGAATTTTCCGCAACTAAAGCTACGGTTGAGTCTATTATGCAGCAAATATGGTACTTTCTCTAGCAAACCAAAGTGTTCTGAACAGCCCATAGACAGTTGAAGTACCTCTTCAAGAAGCCGTAAGAATAAAGCAGCAATGAACTTGTGTGAAAGAAAGATACCGCTAATATTGAATATCGATTTCTCTGGCTTCCTATGTTAGTGTCCCCCCCTCCTCCCCTTGGAGGAGTTGGTAACCCTCCTCATAGCCTAACCACATATAGTTGAAAAATACCATAATGCAGTAATTTCTTACTACCATTCATCCTCCCACAGAACTCCGAGACAGAGAGAGACTCTTTATTAGAAAAAACAGATTTTCGCCGGCGTCTATATATCGCTGGCATGCAACTCTATATAGGGATGAGGAAGGGGACTGAAACATTTCAGTAGCGAGAAAAGAAAGAAAGGGCTCCATAAATACACACACTGCATATTGTGCTACACCTCAGATAAAATACTGGTTATGATGTGGCACATAATAAGCGATAATGACCGCGCTTCTCAAAAGAGGTTCACCGGCCGAGGAAGAGCGATGAAAAGTGCAATTTCCATCGATATTATCAGGAAGGCACAGTAAATCGTATTTGGCACACTTTGGCGTAGTTCGCGCAGGAGTGGAATCACTGTGAAAGAAACATGAGACAAAGATTGGCATGTGTGGCCCGCGGGCCAGAAACAACGGTCGGCAGGACGCATGCTTGACACCGCTGTTTTAGAGCTAACATAACAGCAAACATAACAGGCATTTTATAACATAACACTGAAAGACTGCTTGAGGCAGTCCTTCAATGTTAGGAAAAAATGCATTGTTTCTTGTGGTGTATGCTCTGAAATTCCTATTTTTCAGTGAAAAACAAGCCAAAAGCTACAAAGCCATATTTGGCTGTTATTTTTTATGGCAGTTGAAATACAGCAATAATCAATGAAACCCCCTTACTTCCAGGATTTTGTTTTACAACACTTTCAGACCATTGCACTGAGTAGCATGCTTATAGGCTCACCTCAAACGCAGCTTCATATGCAGCCACAGCATCGCTGATATTGCATGTTGGAGCACAGTAGTACCTGCAATATAATAAGGCATATATGACTGCAGCCAGCAGGAAAGAAGACACAAGATGGGATGAGGGTTCAAAAAAAGGTTTTTAAATTTATTAACCTATCTTACAAAAATTGGTGTGCACACTTATCATTAAATGAAGATTTCAAATATGCAAACTGATTTTATTTTGAATATTTTAGTTTGCAAGGAAGTAACAACAAATTTACAGTGTAATTAGATAATTTCTTTAGAGACATTATGGTAATTTACATTAACAAAGTTGCTTTTCAAAATTACATGGCTCTTCTAAAAAGTCCACTGCAAAGGCTAAAACAAATTACAGTTGAACCCCTTTATAAGAGACACTGATATAAGACACGAATGGGTATAAAAGACACCAGTATGCCTACAGTAAAATATGGGGATAGGAAAATGTATACAAGGTCTCCTGTTTATAGAGACATCTCATATAAAAGACAAGAATCGCTGCCCAGAGCATGCCTCTTACAAAGGGGTTTAACTGTAGTTGTCAAAACAGCCTTTTCCTTGTCCAGAAATAGATTACAAATGTGTAAATAAAAAGTTGCCTCCAGGAATTAGCTGGTACTTACCAAATAATTATAATCGCATCAAGGTTGTGAAAAAGAAAGCTCTAGCCCGTAGTTAAGTTGTTGATGAAGATACTGATACCCAGTTTGTTTAAACCTGTTCATAGAAACTACTGCAAACTTTCGTAAGTAATAAGCATTTCATGAAAGTAAAAAAAAAATCTCATTTAAAGTTTTGACAATATTTGCAATGTTATTTATTCAGTCCGTAAGAAAATGAAAAGCTATATTGCCACAGCATAATAATTTTAAAGATCATAATTTGGACAAATATTTATAAATACACTCAAACCTCGTTGTAACACAGTAGAAGAGGAGCCACAATTATTTTGTTATATCTATTATTTCGTTATATCCATTATTACAGTTTATGGCAATGTGTGCTCAGGTGGGCGCACACTTATAAGCATGCAAAAAAGGAAACCGCCTTGCGGCCTGATGTACCGCTACGGGACCACGCATACGATAGAAAATAAACACAGTCGAATCTCATTAATTCGAACATGCTTAATTCGAACTTCCAGTTAATCCGAACTCACGCTGTGGTCCAGTCAAAGCTATGCACATTCCAATAGGCGAAAATGCCCTGTAATTCGAACGCGCAGGCACTTCTGACGGTTAATTCGAACATACCGCACTCCGAAAATGCTCTCAGCGCCATGCTCGATCCCTCGGCGGCACCTCCCAACGTTGCCCGCAAAGAACAGAAGAAAAAAGACTGTGGCAGATTGGTCGCTCTTTCTCAAATGCCGATCAGTGACGCAACTGTGCCACACTTCTCCCGTTTCAGTCTCTGCTCGTAAGACCCTTCTCCTTCAAGGCCGCGAGCAGAGAGAGAAAAAAAATTGCTGTCGCCGGGAGTTGACTCTCTCTGTAATGCCAATAAGCTTCTCTCCACATGGAGACACTCCTCCTTTTTCGGTGCAGAGGGCAGCAGCTACAGTGTACTAGAACGGGGCAGTGTGCTCACTGAAGGGTGGAGAGCGACGCACTTTATGTCGTCGCTGAAAGGCGGCGCGGCTCACATCATCACCTGAAGCTTTCCGGCGGGTTGAAAGGCGTGGCTATTGGGCGTGGCTGCTTTGTGCGTAAGAAAAGGTATGCCGCCTGTGTAACTGTTGTGAAATAAATACTGCCATCGCGACTGGCTTACAAAGGGTGGGTGATGTTTTAAGCAGCTACTGAATGGATGAATGCTCCTCCACACAGCCGCTGCAGTAACAGGGCGTGTAGTGGGAAGCATTCAAGTTTTTTTAATCTGCTAATCAATACGACGTGCAATGATATTTCGCCACTGTAGCGGTAGCAGCAACTTCACTCACGCCTTTCGAGCCCCACTGTGCAAATAGAAAGAACGCCTCATTTTTCCATTCCCCCTTTTTTTTTTTAAATATATAAGCAGGATTAATTGAAACTAAATGAATGCTTTTTTTGCAAATTACTCACGAGTGGAATCACTTGGCTTTGTGATAAATGTATCTGCATCGTAATCTTAAGCTTAGATCATACGAGCCTATCAAGACTGGTTGCACTCGTAGGCAAATGTGGTACTAAGGAATCCAATGAAAAAATATCTATGCACATAGTTATAATGAGTATATAAAAAGTAAAATATCACATGCGTCCACATATTTATACTACACCATAGAAATAGTTTCTACTAATTCTTCAGCAGCGTAAATATAACAGGGCATGAAGAAACACGCGACAGCATCTTGTGCTGACAAACTGATTTTATTTGCACAACACCGTGTTTATGTATGTGCAAATGCTTGCTATATCACAATACATACCTTAAAAAAGCAGTAAAATTGTCACTCATGGCCAAACAATAAACAAATGCAACAAATGTGAATAAGCATATGCTACTCGATCACAAAAATGAAAAAAAAAGAAATGCAAGGAATATTTATGTAATTCCAAAGCCTATCAGTACAGCCAAAGGCTGATGACTGAAAAGTCGTTACTGTGACCCCCGATAAAGAAACGATCAATGCACGCGCAATAAAGAATCTATGCCATAGATGGAAGCGACATGCTGCTTTTTGTAGCAGATACTGGAGCAGAAAAAATAGTGCTTTAGAGCAGGCTCAAGTGTCTTCGAAGCAGAAATAAATGCTATAGCTTAGGGTTGCTATTGGTGTTTTCGGAGCAGATGCATTTTCCTAATGACACCTGAAGTCTAAAACATCATTCAAGCATCTAATAAATATTTAAATATATTATTAAACATGCCCTATGCTAGTATACAAGCAGTATAGTTGGCATAAATCATGGGCGGAAGGGGGGGGGGGGGGGTCAAGAGAGTGAACTTTTCTGGTGTTCAGGCTGTAGACACCCCCTGCAAGTGTCCCACTTGAGATTTAGCTGTAGCACGTGATATAATTCAGTTAACAGTTAAGTATAGTGCAATCAACTTTTTAAAAGGCTTTTATTTTTTACTGCGTACCTGTGTTCGATGCCCCTGACTGAATAAAACAATGCAATTGCTTAAGCTCGGACCCCATGCTCCTTTTTTTTAAAATTATATTTGAAAGCGGGATTTAATTCCTATATAAATAAAAATGATTGATTGATTCATTGATATGTGGGGTTTAACATCTTAAAACCACCATATGATTATGAGAGACGCCATAGTGAAGGGCTCCGAAAATTTTTTTTGACCACCTGGGGTTCTTTAAAGTGCACCCAAATCTGAGCACACGGGCCTACAGCATTTTTGCCTCCATTGAAAAATATAAAATATACACCCAGCACCTCCACCAAATTGTTAAGGCGCTTATTAGCCGGCACACAGCGAGCATGCACAATGGCGACAGTAAAGGCCAAGCACGGGCTCTCAGCGCAAGCGGCATCCTTTTTGGGTAGACCCACTAGAAGGCACCCGAGAGTTCGACCAATTTTAGTGTTCGGAAGCTTCTCTACAAAACAAACATAAAACCTATATTAAAAATACGAATTGGACCCCATGGCCCGATATGTGTCACCCCTTGAGATTTTTTCTGGACTTACGCCACTGAGTAGCATAAGGTACTAGGATGATAGTGTATACAGCTTGCTTTTGGTTTCGCTTATGTGCACGGGATGGGCCCATGGTTCATCTTCATTCTTTTTAGTTTGCCAACACCATTATGGAGCAGGTTTGGAGCAGTCACTAGCAAATATTGCGCTTTGGAGCAGCATGGAGCAGCATTTTTCTTTTGGAGCAGTTTGGAGCAATTGAAGCACACTTCCATCACTGCTATGCATGTACGGTTCAAAGCGAGCATCAAATATTAAAAAAAATAATAAAAACAAATAAAATAGGGCGGAACAGTGAGCAAACCCACAAAAAACCACAGAAAAGCAAGCTTTGCGTCATTTAACATGACTGACTGGCGTAGTTATCAGCCAAAATTGAAATACAAAAAGGCAAATCTTGAAATGTTCTACTGATCGATTTCTCTAGCTAAACCAAAGCATGACTATATATGACTTTAAGGTCACTGCCCTCGTGCTTTGTTTTCTTGTTTTCCTTTGATTTTTTTTTTTTATCGTACTTGGCACTGCGGTCACTCCCAGATGGGTCCAGCTCTTTTTGTCGTGAAAAACTGCCCCGAAAATTTCTCTGCATGTACGCGGCATGCTTTGTGTGCGGGATCGACCGGAGGCTGTAAAGAAAGTGTACCCTTCCCGTCCAAATGCAGAGGCAGACCGTTTTTGAGACAATTGCAATTTTCGGTTAGACAGAGATGCTGATTCTTCAGAGAAACATACAAAAGTGCAGCAAAGCGGCACGTATGGTACGAAAAAAGGTCTTTTAAACGAATAAATGGCCTGAACATGCACTGCAGCGGGGCACACTTTAATGAAAACAGCTGCCTAAACTACTTGGGCCAGCTTGAAGATGAAAAAATATTAATGTTAAAGACCCCTGACCAGTTGTATATATGTATGTATACATATAATCCTTATTTCTTGCGTCATTGTGGAGGTCCTCTCCCCACCTCCAACGCCGCATTTAATACCACCTGAACTGCAGCATAACCAGCGGAACGCATTTCTCACAGCGTCACACAAGTTTTCAGGAAAAGAACTGGGCGGCAACGCCTCTGGCGGACGCCCGATCAGTTGACGCGGGGAGGGCCATGGCAGCGCTGCGCAGGGATAGGGCGGTGAGCCCACTGCCTCCTCCTAGTACACTAGTAGCAGCAGAGACGCAGTCCTTTCCGTCGTCTTTAGAGAGTGTTGGCGCTGGACTTAGCCGCGCGCTACTATGCGCGCGGCTAAGTTGAGAGTGTTGGCGCTGGACTTAGCCGCGCGCTACTATGCGCGCGACTAAGCAAACTGTGTGGGAAATTGATTGACTCGCTGCAAGGCGCAGACGCGCACCACCGATTACTTCAATTAATTACGGATGTCCTCTGATTTGTGAATAAACGTAAGTCTTTTGAAGCTTTCTCATTGTGTGTTCTTAAGTGAGAGGTAAATCGCTTTGCCCCACGGTGCCCGCTTCCTCAATCCTCTCCGCTGGCTCTGTGAGGAGGACGGCTCTCTCAGTTGCGCGTGGCGTGGCGTAAGGTCGGCGCGGGAGTTTTGAAAGAGCCGGGCTGAACGAGCGTCAAACTTCGCAGAAAATGATATAGTACTTAACACACAATTGTCGTTTTTTATAGACTATTTGATAGACTAATTTAGCTTGTTATATCCATTTACCGGTCAATTTTACTTCGTTACAACGAGGTTTAAAATGCATGGTTCTCAATGGAGCTTTTAAGGAAAATTTATTTACTTTGTTATATCCATTATTTCGTTATATCCCGTTACGTTATAACGAGGTTTGAGTGTAGTGGTTTCTGACAATGGTCCTATAGGAACCCAGCCCTGCCCAGGTGGCGCGTCAAAAATGCACAAGTGGCGCCACCTAGTGAGTTGGGTGAAAAAGTCCTAGTAGGACAGGGCCACTGGGCCATGTTGGAACGCATACAGAACGTTGCGCGACATGTTATCGGCTGTATCTGATTTTGTGCCATGCTTTTTTTTTTTTTACAGCACAGAACATCGAGTGTACACGCATTGTTGAAGGCAACAGATCAGGAACTGTAACTACAGTGCAGACTGACGTAGCGAACAAGCAGTGATGCCCCCAGTTATCTTGCCGTGCGGCTTCAGCAGCGTCTTGTTCGTGGAGGGGTACTTTTGCGACATGACAGTGTGCTGTCAAAACCACACAAGCTTTGCACAGGTAATTATGATTACGGTGTGAAGAAAACTGTGTGGCAGCAACTCTCATTCTGAGATTGCAACCAAATGCCACTCGCAAGTCGAAGAAGCATTAGCACTGTACGGCATGAAAGTACAGGTAAGTGTGCGTTAAAATTGCGCATGAAAAAGCTCGCCTCAGTCTGTGCTGCCGGCACATTATTTTTAATGATCATTATTATCTCAACATAAGTGAGTATGCGTTCGGCCGAGTGGCAGCTCATTTGAGCGATCATGACGTTACTTATGTAATCGACAGTTACAGCTTTCCTGGCGTGTTAATACGCAGGTGAGATGCTGTTTCGTTTCACGCTTTTGTTTTTGATGTTTTGAACAGTGCCAAGAGTAAAATACTCGTGCATAATTGGTAGTTAAAATTTTCGTAGTTCATAAACTCACAGGTGAGAACCTCTTTTGTATTGCACTTTCCATCACGGTATTATGAACAGTGTATGGGTACCAAAATAAGATAACCCTTACACGCTCTCGTAGCGTACTAACACGCAGGTGAGAAGCCCTTTTCTTTCGCAGTGTTATGAACAGTATCTGTTATGAACAGTGTTTATTTGCAGTGTTATGAACAGTATCTACCAGCCAGCCTGTGGTGACAACCTGCGGCAGCTACTGTGTTTAACTATTATACCTGTGATATTCGGCCACACGCTGATGCGTGGGAAAAAAATCGAAGCACCTTCAATATATTTGTGAATAACTATCACAGTGGCCTTCCAGTGAAGTGAAATAAGAAGCGCCTAATACCACGCACCAGTATCTCATGAAAAAGATAACAAACATGAAAAGAAAGATAAAAAACTTGGCTTCGGCAGATATTAAATTTTAAGTGTAAAGTGAATTCGAATATGTTAATATTTGTTCGAATATTCTACGCTATCGGATAATCGCAGAGGCCTAATAAAAAAACCTCAACTTCCATGCAGCGAAGCATTCCTGTGTCCCTATATACATGGAGCTGACTGAATGCCAGACAATTATTCAAACTGCGTGCTGATTACAGGAATCGACCTAAAAGCTGCATAACCAAATAAGAGTATAGAAGTGCCACTTGAATGGCACTCTCAACACCACCATTTATAACAGTGCTGAGCATGAATACACAAAATAATATTTAGCAAAACACTTTTTTAGAGAAAGCGATGGCGAAAAAATGCAGATTGGTGGCAGCATGCACAGTGCTACCATGAAGTACGCCTGCTGCTTATATACTCACCAAAGATGTAGTGCCAGAGCCCTTTTCCAGTCGAGGTCAGCACAGCAGTTAATTGTTTCATCTGGGTCTGAAGTTGGCCAAACCATCAGTCCAGCCAATAGGGCATAGACCCGGAGTCGTTCTGGATTGATGTATCGATCTTGCTGGAAACGTAAGCACGTTTCTCTGATTAGTGCCAACATCAGCCTCGCTCTAACACAATTTGACAATAGCTATTTCATTTCTCTTCATAGAGCACCAACATTGCTAAAAAAACTTTGATGTGACTTGCGACAAAAAAGGATAGCCACCAATGAAATTTTACTAAATCATTTGTGGCCTTTCTCAATATTAGAATGCCTGCTAGTATAGAGCTGGAGTGCACTGCTTTGTTTTGAATTTGTTATCGTGCAGCCTTGAAGATCCATATGAAAATGCATATGGCCTCTAGCCACCATAGCTAGACATGGCCCCCTCTAGCGACCATAGGTGCAAGGATGACTTGCACGGACCATCCAGTCACACAGTACACAAAGTGATGCAATGCATCAACATTCAGGCCAAAGTTGGTGAGAAAATCCACTCGAAGTATGGCAAAGTGCACATCAACGATGGTGAATATCAAGTCACAGCTCAGCCCCAAGTTAACGGCAAGGTATGCAGCACTACCGAAATGTGGCGATTGCAGAACTGTTAACAGCTTGTACTAACAGTCCTCTCGGCACACTGTTAAGACGTCGGTTGGGAATAACACTCTCCTCAGCAGCAGTGTCGACCAGGAAATGACATCCTGTGATCTTGTCTAATATGCAAAACACTGATTGATTTGATTGATATGTGGGGTTTAACGTCCCAAAACCACCTAATGATTATGAGAGACGCCGTAATGGAGGGCTCCAGAAATTTCAACCACCTGAGGTTCTTTAACGTGCACCCAAATCTTGAGCACACAGGCCTATATAGCATTTTTGCCTCCATCGAAAATGCAGCCGCCACAACACATGGCTGCATGTAGCTGTGGCGCCACAAAGGTCACCCCCTGACATTGTCATTACACTGAACAAAGCCTGTGCAATTCACTGTAAAGCTAATTACATACTTAAAATCAGCACAAATAGCTCTATAAAAAGCCGAAGCTCTATTGCTCCAGGGTGAATTTAAGAATAACAAGAAGCCTCTGAGTAGCACCTTTCAGCTTACCTTGAACTTCTTCCAGTGGTCCAGTTGTTTCTGCAGCATGTGGCGGCTGACTGGGTTGGAACCATTTTGAGCCAGCAACAGACACAAACGGTAGTCTCGAGACCGTTGAGCCACTGCACACGCCTTGGACATGTCACGACCACTCAGATAGCTCAGCATCACCAGCAGTTCGCTGTCCTCCTATCAGGCACACAGTACAGTCGACTCTCGTTAATTCAAACTTGAAGGGACCTCCGACTTAAGTTTGAATTATCAAGAAATTTGAATAAACAAATAAACAAAATATTACTTGAATAAAATTGTACTTCATGAAATAACTTTCTATAAACCTATGTGGTTATCGGTATATATGGTAGACAAACGTTGTGGCGTACAATACTAGAGACGCACACAGTTGCAAGTGCATTTCCCTTTGACAACTCCAAGGATATAGAAAGGTTATTTTTTTTCACGACTGACTATATTGCTGGGCTTAACATGACGTCAATTAGCTAGTCTCATAAAGCCAACCTCCTCCAGCACTCATCTCTTTGTGTTGAAACAACATCATTTAAGAAACATATTTGCACAGCCCAAGCATCTGTCTTATCATTTAACAAACTTCGTTTTCCTTCTGCAGCAATGTTTTATGTGGCTAGGGCATTCTGACTATACTCCAAAATCCTCCTGTAGTGTTCTAGAAAGCAGTGCATAAAAGAAATACAACCTCACAGGGTACCTTATACATATGCGATAGCAATTACAAGGACATGTCTTTGCCACCGTCAGGGGCGTAGGGGTAATTTGTTTTTATTTGGGGGCGGGTTGCACTTTGATCTGAAGGGGGATGGTGCATGCAAATGGCAATACATATGGCTGTAGATGTGCTGTACAATACAAATGGCTGTACATATGCCATGGCAAAAAACATTTCGGGAAGGAAGCACATTCATGATGTGCCCCCCCCCCCCCCCCCCGGCTATGCCACTGGCCGTCGGTGTCATGTTTTGGTAATATCCCAATTGATAACATCCCCCTACGCATCAGGTGTTTTACTAGTGGGCAAGAGCGTGCGAGTAGGGGTGATGGACGCAGCTAAAGCAGAGATAAAAAGTCACAGTTTCGCCACAAGGGCGATACAATGAATGCGATAGCAACAACTTGGAATGTAACGCTGGGAACAGCAAGCAGATTGGAATGTGCAGCACGCTGCTCACACAGGACGAGAGCGAACTGACAATGTTTACCACTCGACACTTAACGAGCTGTTTAAGAAGCAAAAACGGCACACGAAATGTAGTCACAAGTACAGATGAGTGCAAACTAACAAGTGTCCCAGTTGTTATACTTCGCTTTGTATGAAAAGCGCACTATTTATGCAAACAGGGCCTATGCAGCCAGCGAAGTGACTTTTGTGTTAGGCCTGGCAACTAATGCAATCGTTCCGGTGAAATCCGAAGGCACACAATTCTCCCCACTGAAAGATTAGCGCGCGCGTACAAGCACGACCACTGGATGAAAAAGTGCATGGGTCAGATGCAGCTAAACACGCCCCTCTCTCCAGATTTAAGGAACAAACGCGTAGAGGACAAGCGCGCGTCGTCGCATCGCGACAAGCTGGGTGCCGAGTGCGGGTGTTTTTTTTCTTTCTTTTTTGAGTTTCTATATATGTAGATACTTATACATATACAGTGAATGGCGGCGGTGGCGGCAAAAAAACAGCTGAGACTGTCCATACAATTGAATAAAAGAGCCGACCTACCTTCTTTGCACAGATTGCAGATGCGATAGCATCACTCTGTGTGCCAGGCCTGCCATCGATTGTTACTCAAGCAGAGAAGAACGCTCCAGCCATTTTCAAAAAGCAGGAAGGAACTAGGCACGCAAGGCCAGGGCGGGGCCACGTTGTTATGAACTTGGGGTGTGACCACTGGCACTCCCGCTAATTTGGCAGGCATTACAGACGGCTGTTATACCCTTCTATCTTGTACTCTCAATGCGAACAGACTGTTAGTATCGCATTCTTTTTGGCATGACGTCGCATAACTCAGATGAACACTGGCTAAAGGGACAATGATCACTCAAATTGCCGACGCGGTTTTTGCACTGTCGTAGCACAGAAAGTTTATGAGCATGCCTCATTAGGCCTCGAGATAAGCGCGCTCGCGAATGTGCCCTTCAAGTGGCGCAGCTTCCGTCTTTACCACCGCACCCCAAAAAACGAAGCAATGAATGCAATAACGTGATGTTTAATTTTTTTTTTATCAGTCACCCATTGACCTTAAAAAGCTGAGAGGTGTACATGTAACAAGGCATAACCTCTTCACTGTGGGCCGTCCGGCCCCAGAGCGGCCACTCATAGCCTCCCTGTTAAAAGCTGCGTGTATTAAAACTGAATTCCGGCTGCTCCGACCAAGAAGTGTGCTTTTAATAATGAGATGACATTAAAAAAAAAAACGAACATTTTGAATACGAACCTTAGCAATTTCGAGTTCCAAATGGGGCGGTGTTTTAGGAGCTTTTACCGCAACAGCAATTACAAACACGGACGTGCTGGTGAAAGGAATTACGAAAATGAATGCCTGAATGAAGATCCATGAATAAAGTATATTAAAAGAAAAGTGTGAACGCATTTCCACTGTGCATGTGTTCTTCTGTGGACGCGAAGCGCGCGAAATCAAACCGTGATATCAAGAAGTCCACCGACGAATCACCACCACAGTTTCACGCACTGATTGGACTAGACGTCACGAGCCCCTGCGTCGGCACCAAACATATATCACTGTGGATTACTTAGGATGCACGCACGACTGCTGTCAACTAAGCGGAATAATTCTAGACACGCGATTGTGACTTTGGTGGCCCCGAGAACAAGATGCACATATTTTGACGCACCGGCGTGGCTATTGCCGGTGATAGATGCTCCCAAATCCAACTTTGGCGCAGTTTGGTGCAATTTTCGTTGATATTATCAGGATGGCCCAGTAAACCTGATTTTGCACGCTTTGGAGCAGTTAGCGCAGGAGTGGGATCATTGAAAAGGTGAGTTAATACCCATTCAAATTAAACAATTATTAGGCAATCACAATTTTCATTAATGACATAAGGGTAGATACTCTTTAGGATAACCCCCCAAAAAAAGTCATCCAGTACTAAAATATGAAGGTTTGGGCCATCGTGCTGCCAAGGAAATGATACTGGCTGGTCGAACTCAGAAACAACATGAATAACATGAACTTGGAATACTGTAACGAAACTGCACGTTAGACATGCTCACGGGAACTACAACTCGCCTCTAACCTTGGCGTTGCCATGGCACAACCCTCTCGCACGCTAAATGGTCCATCGTCGACTATCCGGGCAGCACCACAGCTGCCGCTATAAACGTCTGTGAGTGTACCACGTGCATCACTGGTACGCAGCACTTGTCATGCTAGCCATGCGATGAGCAGGATTCCCACAAATAGCATCCTTTTAGGAGCATGCTCCTTTTGCTCGCAGCTTGTACTATGGTGGCTGCCGGCGTGTACAGCAGTGTTACCAGTCTGTACATTTTTGCAGTCCCCGATTAAGGCCCCTTTTCAGGTAATACCATCAATGCTCAATAGATGGCACACCACCGCCCAAGGCGCCGGTTGGGTGGCACCAACCAAGGCCTCACCATCTTGTTGTGGCTTTGAAAGAGAGAGACGTGAAGAGAAAAGTGTGCCATCGTAACTGTTGCTCTCTCAGGAGGTCACCTTAACAATGCCACACGGAAGATGGGTAGTGGGGGAAAGAAAGAAATGTGAAAGAGAGAACAAAAGAGGAGGGTGTCAGTAGTGTTTGGTCAGTTCGTGCTCGGCCTCCAAGTTGGGTCGGGAGATGTGCCCAACAATGCTGCCTTTGACGTACACATCATGCACCAGCTGGTTAACAAGCCTTCCTACATAAATGGTCTCGCCAAGAAATGCCTCGAGCATCTCTAAGCAAGTTTCTCTAACATCATGCATTTTGTGGTTATGGCAGTAATTTTTTTCCATGAACTCTTTACCTGATACCAGCTCCAAGAGTACCAACAAGACTAGCATAAAACTAGAGATGTGCGAATAGCAAAATTTGGCGTGCGAAGTGAATTTAAATATTGAAACCTGAGTACGAATAAATAGAATATACTTTGAATATTTCTAAAATACTTTTTGAATACTTCAAAGCAAAATTGCAGAAAAAAAAAGTGTTGGAGAGGATTCCTAAGCATATTCTTGTAAGATAGCAACATAGAAGTGTTTTTTTTTTTTTTTTGCTAGGTTGACGAAGCACTAGTTGTGTAGTGTTTCATAGTTGTCTTTCAAGAATGAGGCAATGCAGAGGTCAAATTGCATTTATGTAAATGATTTGGTGCAACGAAATTGTGGAGTTCTATGCCCCAAAACCAAGATAATATTATAAGAGACGCTGTAGTGGAGAGTTCCACAAATTTCGACTTATCTGATGTTTTTTAACGTGTACTGACTTTGCACAGCACATCATCACCATCAGCTTGACTACGCCCACTGCAGGGCAAAGGCCTCTCCTATGATCCGACAATCAACCCGGTCTTGTGCTTTCCATTGCCCCATTATACCTGTGAACTTTATAATCTCATCCGCCCACCTAACTTTCTGTCTCTCCTTCATGCGTTTGCCTTCTCTGGGAATCCAGTCAGTTACCCTTAATGACCAGCGGTTATCCTGCATAAGTGGTACGTACCCGGCAAATGTCTATTTCTTCTTCGTGATTTCAACTATGATATCCTTAATCCCTGTTTGTTCTCTAAACCACTCTTCTATCTTCTTGTCTCGTTACATGTATCATTTTCTTTTCCATCGCTTTCTGCGTCGTCCTCAATTTAAGCTAAACGCTCTTTGTATGCCTCCGGGTTTCTGCTCTGTAGGTAAGCACCAGCAAGATGCAGCTGTTATATACTTTCCTCTTGAGGGTTAGTGGCAAATTACTACTTATGATTTCAGAATGATTGTCAAATGTGATCAACCCCATCCTTACTCTTCTAGTTATTTCACTCTCACGGTTCGGCTCTGCAGTTACTACCTGTCCAAAGTAGACATATTCATTTACAACTTCCAGCATGTCTCCACCTATCGCAAAGTGCTGTTTTCTGCCAAGATTGTTGCTCATTACATTAGTTTTGTGCATATTAATTTTCATACCTACTCTTCTGCCTTTTCGTGTCCAGTTCAGTAATTATGAGCTGCAATTCGTCCCATGAGTTACTGATCAAGGCAATGTCATCAGTGAATTGCAGGTTACTAAGATACTCTCCATTACCTCTTATCCCCAACTCTTCCCAGTCTATGGTCCTGAATACCTCCTGCAAACACGTTGTGAATAGAATTGTGGAGATTGTGCCTCCCTGTCTTACACCCTTCTTTATTGGGGTTCTACCGCTTTCTTTATGAAGAACTATGGTGGCTGTGGATCGACTGTAGATTTCTTCCAGTATGATTATGAAGGGATCAGTAATGCCCTGTATTCGTAGTGTCTGCATTACTTTTGATGTGTCGACTGAGCCAAGCGCCTTGCCTTCTCTTAATCTACGAAAGTTACACAGTATAACCTCGTTACAATATACCCGCTTATAAGTAACATTCAGTTACTACATAATAGTTTGCGGCGTTATGCTGGCCTCCCTATTCGTTCTATGGATTGAGCTTCATTTACTACGAATTCTGGTACAACGAACATTCGGATATGATTGACTAAAATGTGAAGCCAGCAAGGTGGTCAGGAATCCTTTACAGAAAACTTTTCTACCGCGGACATCCCAAATTCAATAACTTTTGGCTTCAAACATCGCTTGGCCTACTTTCGGGACGGGAATAGGGCCGCAGATAATGATGTACCGATTTTAAAAAATTCCAAGAAGCTAATGAAGTACCAGTAGTCTGCTGTAGTGAGTAGTGATATATTTCTTTTCTGCCCCAACATCCTATATCCCTGTCACATAGCTAACACCACTCAACTTAATTACATCGTATTACCGTTGACGGAGATGCAGTTCGGGCTAAATGGTCTCCATTTCGCCTAAAAAATTTAAAGGAGCTTTTGGAGAAGGGTGCTTGGTAATGACCTGATGAAGTATCCTAGTTCCCATATACATACCTGCCAAGTTCAAGGATTCTGAATGCGGGAGATTTCAGCAAAGGGGGGGGGGGGGGTAGCTGATTTCTTTGCCCCTATTTGTTTAATGCACCAAAAAAAAACCATGGATAAACAATAAAAAACTATGAAAAACAGAAGGGGTGGGGTGGGGGGGGGGGGGGTCTCTATCGCAAGCCTTAACAATCAGCTTTGCGGTCTTATAGTGGCTTGGAGAGGCCGAACACGCCAAGGCAAGGGTTCGCACTAAGGTGAGTCTCAGAGTATCAACACAACCAGCAGAATCTATTTCCGTGAGAACAACTGGCTTATGTCTTTCTGAGACACACGTTTACGAACGGGACGGCGCAGCTGGCTGCCACAAAAGCGCGAGTCAAAACATTGACTAGATTCTTTTGAAAGGAATGCCAAAACGCGTCTGGCCCTTTTTTATTGCGATAGCAATTATATGGACACTATAGGCTTTTTTTTTTTTTCTGTCGCTGTCGTCATTCACCGTACATGTGTACGTATCTACATATATGAATACCCAAGAAAGAAAAAAAGCCACCTGCGCTCTATGCCCAGTTCGTTGGGATGCGCCGACGCGTGCTTATATCTCAAGCGTACTTTGCCCCGCGGATTGGGGGAGGGGAGAGGGGATAGTCAGATGCCTGTGAAGCGCGCTTACTTTTTGGTGGGGAGAATCATATGCCTTCGGTTTTCACTGGAACGATTTTGTTAGCTGCCAGGCCCACAAAGGTCACATCGGTTTCTGCACAGGCCCCGTTTGCTAAAACAGCACGCTTTGCGAAGTATAACAAAGACACTTGTTCGTTTGTACTCACCTGTACATGTGGTTACATCTCGTGCATCGTTTTTGTTTAAATAGCACGTTACGTGTCAAGCAGTAAACATCGTTAGTTTGCTCTCGTGTGTCCTGTGTGTATCGTTTTCGTGCGTCATTTGTGCGTGAGCAGAACGCTGCATGTTTTGATCTGCTTGCCGTTCTTAGCGTGACATTCCAAGTTGTTGCTGTCGCATTCACTGCTTCGCCCTTACGGCAAAAGCAACTTTTTTTTACGTATTTACTGCCTTTATTCTACCGCTGCGTGCCCTCGGAGCTCGTAAATCGCTATCGCGTCGCCCCGACCGTGGTTTTGTCCGTGGTGGTGGCGGAAAGCAGCGTTGCTTTGACTGGTTGAGCACACAATTTCAGGGTTCTGTCAGCAACGTCATCGCCATACATGATCGTGTCAAGAGCGATTGCGGTTTCGTTCGCAGCTGTTGGGGCAACGACAATCACATGCACTGTAAAAAACGGTGCGTGCGCCAGTCGCACGCGTACTTCTGAAGCTTCAAGTACGCTGCTCTCGGCCTTAGTTCGACGGTTTCCGTGCTAAAGTTCGTATCACCCGTCACAATTAGGAAATGTGTTCAGAACATTTGAATTTAGGCCCAATGGACATAGTAAAATTAGGCTAGAGAATTTCACGAATTCGGATCTGCCGCGGTTTCACATCACTGAGATTTTACTGTATGTTTAGATGAATGCCTGCTAAATTCGTTTATAACAACATGCGGTGGGTTCGCAAAAAGGCCGGAGCGGACTCATCTGCATTTTCGTCAATTTCGACAGATCATGCACAAAAATTTTTATTTCCGGGAGATTTTTATGACAACCATACAAACGGAAGAAACGGTCGAAATCCGGGAGTCTCCTGGCCAATCCAGGAGACTTGGCAGGTATGCAGATAGCTACTGCTACGACAAAAAATCATGCTAACAGGGGTGAAAGTGGGCTTCAGTCTTTTGTAGCAGCTTTGGGAGCAGGAAAAATTTTGTTTTAGAGCAGCTTTGGAGAAGTAAAAGTGGAGTTTTGGAGCAGCTCTGGCACAGGGGTATTAGAGACCACTATGCTTAAGAGATACAAAATAAGGGCACTCACTTTTCTCTGATGGTCTGTTATTTCAGCTTCAATGATAGATTTCGTAGTATCCACAAGCCAGTCTGAGAGTGCCTCCTTGCGACGCTTTGCATAGGAGTACCTGGTGACGTCGTCTGTTAAAACAACATGTGATGCGGACAAGTGAAACATGGCAATGAACGCACATCACAGAGCTTTCTCAGCATCACCTCTGAAATGACACAGATGTCGCCCTGTCGACTAACTGTGTCAAGCAAGCGATTCATGCTTTAAAAAGGAAAAATCAAGATATACAGTAGACTCTCACTAAACGGAAAGCTGTTAAACACAACTGCTGCCTAAATGGAACAACTGCTCCGATGTGATTAGTCTCGTTCTTGCATGCTCCACCTCTGTTCATCTCTCATGGCGTATTGGGTTGGCCGCTCTGGTTCTCCGGTTCAAAGTCACCAGATGCAGAGGCACCTCGCAATCTGTGCGCGAGAAGCAGTGTACCAATCGAATACATCGGCGATATCAGAGCACTTAGAGCAGCGCGCCTGTAGCACCACCGTGCAGCCCGCGCGGGAACCTTCCGGGTACACATTGCTGCGCCATGTCAACAAACGGTGCCGATCAGTTCAGTGGACATCTCTGACATCTGGCCTTTCTTATATTTTTCTCTCTCTCTCTCTGACATGTCTGGATGTAGCAAAAGCCTTCTGAGCTCAGCACATAAATCTGGAGATCATCCTCATCCAAGCTGCTATCGTCCAGGCAAATCACGAGGCTGTCTGAGGGCTGCTGTAACGACAGCATTGATGTTTCCTCTGCTTTTGCTAGCCACCTCATTATTTACATGGTGCATTTATGGCTTTGTAGATGTGAATTCGCCCCACAGACGCAGAAAAAGAAAAAGCCCCCACCTCCCCGAAGTGAACCGTGAGGAAATGCTAATTAATTTCGTAGCGTCCATAACTGTGTTTCGCGCATGAAAAAACCCAGTGTTAGAAAAATAATTTTTTTTTCTTACACCATACAGCCAATAACGCCATTCGCTGCAGGTGGCGTTTTTCTGTCGCAAAAAACGCAGTATGCGTTTCCAGCTTTAGTAGCTAGCGTGTACGGTTAAAAAATATAAACAAACAGCATTCCCAGCTCGGCGTTGGCGTTTCACAGCGGCGTCCCGAGCACACATTTTCGAATATTCTTGAGAGGCCCCCAGACAGCGAACGGTCGAGAGTGAGGCGCGAGCGCATGAGAAAGTGGGGCGCCGGGAGGTGAGAGAGCGAATGGCGAGAGAAGAAGCGGCGAAGCACTGCACCTGTCATTGTACCCGACAGCCATAATATCAGTGCCTTATCAATACAAATTCTAAACAAATGCTGGCAACACAAACACTACAAACGCATTCCAAACGCACTGCATTGAGGCGGTGGCAAGTCACGTTCAAGTCAAGAAGGGGGGGGGGTCTCCAGTTGCTACGGGCGAGGATAAGCGCGCGTGGCTGCAGCTGTTGCTGATAGCTGCCGGCGCTGAAGCGAGACATGGCGGGGGCTCCGGTTGCTAGGCAAGCGTGCGCCCACAGCTGTTGCTATGGGAGAGGGATTTGGATGGATGAGAAATGCATTTTAATTGAAAACGCCATTAACAATGCATGTGCACGAACTATTACGTGCCCGGCGATACCCCCTTCCGAAATGCACGTTCGGGCTCCTCACCAATTTCACCTACCGACAGCTATGACGTGATTGGCTGGCTTGTGTCATGTGATCCGTCCTCCTGGTCAGATCGTACCACGCTCTCACTTCGAAGTCAGAGCGATCGAGAGTGCTCCGAGTCAGAGGCTGACGCTCTCAAAGAACCAACCGAAGATACTCCGCGCGCTCGAATTCTACCAACCAAAGGCAGCCACTTTTCAGAGCGCTCCAGAGTGCTCGAGAACGCTCAACTGAATACGCCATCAATAAACGAAACTCCCGTTAAATGAAACATATTTTCTTGGTCCCTTTAGATTCAATTCAATGAGAGTCTACTTTATTGATATCTTGCAGCTGAGCAGTCGTTAACTCACACAACACACTTGAACTTGCTGTCTGAAACAAAGTCTTAAGACCACAATAAACACATTCCACATGAAGTAAAATACGGCCATAATTTAAAATCATGCCTCCACTTTTTATGCAGTTGGTTAAGACCATTGTGGTTACAAACATATGATGCTGTGTTTTACTTTATGGCCCAAGGGCCGTTTACAAACATATGCTAGCTGACTAACATGAGTGTTCCCACGCTGTTGAATACTTCTTGATGATACGATAGCTACTTTACAACACAAAACATTTAGGTGCATAAATTTTATTTAAACTACACTATTTATGAAAGATAAACTCAAGTAAAACTGTGAACCAGTCTTATAGATTTATAAATTGCTCTCTAAAAGCTCTAATGGCACTAATTTCACAATCATAGGTTTGTAATACAGGATAAAATCAAAGTAAAGTTTCATTACAAAATTTCAACCAGTCTGCATATGACGTCACCGATTTTGAAGCTTGATTTTAGCTCAATGAAATTTGTAGAAGCTAGGTCTGTTAGCCCTCGGAGTGTGGAATTTTTTAGAGAAGATGAAGAAACAAAACGAAACCAACAAAAAATCATCATGCCTGCACAGAATGTGCAGCACAGTCAGAGCGAAAGCTGGAGAAGCAGCCTTTCCAGATTTCTTTAAACACTCTTGAGGCAATTACCACAAGCACACTTGCATGGTACCCACTATGCCATAAATCATCATAATTCTTGTGTAGTGTGGAAGTGTCCAGTAAGCCATTATTCGTCATTCTTTGTTAGAGCGTGCTACTCACTACACACTAGTAAGGCATTATGTGCACATTGTTGATGCTGTGGCTGACGAAGAATTATGCCTGAGGCTTATGTAATGGGTTGGAGCTCTCAACAACCTGCTTGTTATACAATTCGTGCTGTGGGACATGTGGTTGTTACTTCACTATCTTAACACTTTATTACACATGTTAATGCGATTCCTTACCCTACATGAAGCCTGCACAGAGTCATTTTGAAACAGAGATTCACGCACCGGCATAGCTTAGGGGTAATGCACTTGGCTCGCACGCAGAGAACCAGAGTTCAATTCCTACTGTGACATAGGTATTTTTTACTTATTTTGTTTTTCATTTTACTTCGTGCAATAGTGGTTACGGACTTTGGCGGCAGTGGCGGGCAACAACTATGGCACCAGAAGTGGTCCTTGTTGTGATCTCATAACAGCTTTCCATGTAAAGCTTTCACAGATTTTCAAACTACTTTATTGCGGTTTTTAATGCAAAAAATGTGTCAAGCCAGAAAAAAATTGTACAAAGTATGGTGAACAGTTTTTGGTGTCAGCATTAGTACTCAGAACTGAAAAACATTCAATGGTACAGTTAACTCTCGTTAATTCCAACTCAAAGAGACCTCTGAATTTTGCTTGAATTATCAAGAACTTTGAATTATCAGATGTTCACAGATAGATGACTCTGGGTGGGGTAACACCACACATTGTGATTAGACATTGATTTTATCATTAAAAATGTTTGTCTTTTTAAGCCCTAGCTGCACACAGTGAACAGAAAGCAGGGGTGTAAAATCGACAACTTTACTGGCCATTTACTACTGATCAGACCTTTTAAAAAAATCGTGAATTGGCAACTGCTTCATTGCTATAGGTATGTGCCTCCAGCTCGAAGCTCTCTATAGACGTTTCAAGGTTTTAAGCGTTGTGCCCCAAAAAAACCTCCAGTCACCTCATTTACCTGCCTATAACGTTAAAACTGAAAGGCCGTTTTCAATTTTTTTTCAAGGGTAAGGAAAGTCTCTTATTAATTTTTCAGATAAAAAGAATGTGCGTAATGTTCAGGGGAATCTCTTATAATTTTTATGTAGCTCAAAAGAACATTTATTTGTATATATTTTGCCAAATAAGGGACAGAAAGTGTAGAATATCAGTGCGCTATTTTTTAACGCTCTTCTTACCCACCGATGCTAGTAAGGTACATAGGTGGAAGAAACCAGATGTCATCATGGGCTTGTGTTTGTAAACAGTGAAAAGGTCTATACCATGGACGCATGACGGTTTACCATGCGTGTGCTTTGTTTCAAACATTTGTTTACTTGCAAAGCCTTTTTCCTTGAAGGCCTCAGGTGCTTTTCATTTTTAGACTGGTAGGATTATATAAGCACACAAACTTTTAAATGGTAGTGGGAAAGCAACTGATAATTTCTGGTATGGAGCTGCAAGAAGTATCAATTAAACGAATGATGAAGTTTGAATTAAGAGGCTTTTGAATACATTGAAAGAATAGAGGGTCAACCAAAAAAATTGAATTTTTTTTGAAATAACCAAAGTTTGAATAATCAAGAGTTTGAATTATTGAGAGTCTACTGTATTTCAGAGCATGGTATGCCTTGAAACACAGGTCAAAACACATCACTTTATTGCCATCTGTGCACATAACATGAGCCCCTGTTCTCTTCTTGGAGCAACGAGTTGTGCTGGCAAAGACACGGCATCTCCTCAGCGTATGGCTGCCAAGGGCAGAGTAAACTTGGTAATCAAGAGAATGAATAAGCTAGGAGCACATCCAATAAAGACAAAAATCAACTTCTACCGCCCCTGCAAGATAGTGCCGATACTGATCCAAATCAAGTTTTGTGCACCACTTGTATGTAAGATCACGCGATGAAACCAAAACTACGAAAGGATATTGCTCAAACAGCTAGACCCACTAAAGCTAGGAATCATTTTTGTTTATCATTGCAAGAAGGTAGCACAATAACTTCCAGTACTTTTAGTCCTAGGAGGTAGCAGCACCCCCCAGTGAGCATGTATAGTCATTAGAGCACGAAACTTCAAGCAGAGCGTTGGTTGACAACGTACCTGAACGGCAAATACACTGCTGGACAAAAAACTGCCACCGTTCATGTACAGCAAAAACACTCAAAGGACAAGTCTCTGGCCCCCCAGACAGCTGTCTACTTCATTTTTACGAATTAGGAGCCTTGTAGGCACTAGAAGATGCCTTCAAAATTTATGACATCTTGGCGATTGGTGTGGGAACACTGAAGTTGCATCACCATTCTCACTCCTCTTTTAGCACGTTCTTACTTACCCAGCATCTTCTTGGTAGACAAGAACACGAGAGGCGTCATACTCGACACGTTTTACACTAGCGTAGCCCATGAAAAAGGTTGTTTCAGCTGTAGTGCAGATATTCATGACTTCGGCAACTTTTCTTTTTAAGTGCGCCCATTATGTGAGTAAATACAATATGTCCAGAACAATATGAGCCTTCAATGCGTATGCCTGCATGTATTGCCCTGAACCAAGTGGCCAAGAAGAGCCGCCAAATCTGTTTGAAACCGTCTAAAGATGAGGCGGACATCGTTCAGACACCTCTCATATTCTTACACCAGTGTTAGGATGCAGTTGGCTTTTAGACTTTGAGCACTACTGTGAGCTATAAAATTGATTTATTATTTTAGTACTTTCTAAAATTTATATAAATTTATTACTATAGAGCAAGTATAGATTAATATTATAGGTACGATTTAAAATATCTTAATATATTGTCATCTAGTTATTGCCTCTGGCAGACAGCCATGCTGCACTGTCGTTTTAGGACAAGAATGCTAGAATTTCAAATAGGCGTACAGACTGAATATTGAGTTAAAATACAGACCACAGTCACTAAAATGGACCCACGTGCAAACAGACTTTCAGATAACCAGACTACGACTAGTTTGCTATGTGCGATAAATTCATAGAGCCAAGTTTGCTTTCTATGGACTGGAATACAAGAGACTATTGGCTACAGTTGGGGAAATCAGAAGCACATTTTTTTCAAAATTGGGTGCATAAAGTGTACTCCTGCTGTGTTGACGTGGGCTGACAGAGACATTTTTTAGACCAGGCTTCTTTCTGTGCGCTAAAGCCGTGGTAATATTAAATTTCTACTGGCAACATTTGTGACTTCCAGCCAAGCCAAGCCTCCAGCCGAGCCAGTCTAAGAGCACACTGAATACGCCAGTGATACCAGCACAAAAGAAGGAATGAGAGGAGTGTAGTATGCTTTTCATTTTCAACGCTGTACATGCACGCCTGTTGTCCCTGCTCGCATGAAGTGGTGCCCGATGATGCTAAGCTTTGCAACTTTTTTATTTTATTCAGACAATCGTGTTGTCACTGCCGAGGAGCTCTCATATTAGGCGCTGATGGAAACTGTTCGAGATCACGGTGACGTCGAAGAATCTTCGGTTGCCGGCTCGTCACGCACTTTGCCGTCTGCACCCCACTGTCACTAGACCGTGAACTTTGTGATTAGCTCACATTGCCGGAGCCACACTCGGAGTCGCAGCAGGTTGTATTGATGTCCTACGAACATTCAATATCGCAAAAAAAAAAAAAAAACAGCTTACTACACACGTGAAGCAATGGATGCGATAGCAACCAGTTGTAGCGTTATAACGAAGTAGGTCTGGCAGCTAACTCTTTTGGACCCAGTATCGCGTAACTCTGCAAAATGCTTGTGGAAATGAATACATCCATTCCAGGGGAAAACGCTCAGTTCGCACGGGCTCTGCATTGAGAGCGGAGCACGTAGAAGGGTATACAAGCCACCCCCTAGTGGCTTCCGGGAGTGCGTGTATGCCACTGACGGCAATCACGCCTGTAAAATCGAGGTTCACAACTCCTCTTTGAGCGACATTGCCTCCCGTATCCTTTTGTGCTCGTGAAAGATGGCCTGGCATTTCTTCTCTGCTCGAGCACTTGACAGCAGGTCTAACAAACTAGACATGTTATCTCCTGCCCCCTTAATGCACCAGATATAGTCTGATCTTAGCTTCACAAACACTCATCGCCCCTATTCCTGTGCTTTTATTCACGGCTAAATCTTGCTATGCAAGGGAGACGTTATCTATTTGGACTTTATACAAAAACTCGTTCAGTGTCGATATATTTTGTACCACGAAAATTCAGTCTTTTACTGCTACATAAATGTTTTGGGTGAGCTTTGTCTTCACATCCCATTTTGTGCTTTTCTTTCGAATTTTAACGCTGAAACTGTGTATAACGAAAACTTTTCTAATATACTTTTCGGGGAAAATTGTTATATTTGTTATACCGAGGCTTAACTGTATATTAACTAACACAATGTTCACAAAATTCCGGTTTATACAGTGTAGACCACTTACAACGTAACCATTTCTAATGCAGAACATATTACAATGCTATCGTTTTAGACTCCCGTTCACCTTCCCTTAAAACCCTATGTATATGCACACCGCTTATTGTGCTGTCCCCCAAGAGGACGTCATTGCGGAGGAGAAGACGTGGAGTGGGAGCAAACTTAGAGTGGAATGAAGAAAAAGAAAAGAAAAAAAATGCGGCACACTACGCAGGCTCGCTGAGTAAGGAAGAAGGGCAGTTGCCTCAACGACAAATAAGTTTTTGCACTGGCGCCGACACAACAGTGTATTAGCGTCGTTAGCGTGGCTTTGGCTGCACGCAAATCAACATGGCACTTCCGATTTCGTTGTTATCAACTGCGCTCAACAGTTCCTTGTCGGGAGTACCACCGTCATTATTGTGCTTGATACAGATATCCGGTTCTCTACATCGTCTGTAAATTAAAAACCCTTTACAGCTTTATAAAGTAAGTTTTCAGCTTTGCTGCCAGTGCACTGTCTTACGTAAGCTTGGCGGGTTTTCATTGCTGTTGATCTCCCAGCTGCGGACGCGTACTTCGTATCATGCATTTTTTGCTTGGTTCAGTGCGTGAGTGTGGTCTTTTTGACGCCGAATCTTCATGTCCTGGACAAGCTTCCCAAGACAACATACCAAAAGGAAGGCTAGGTCTAATCAGCGTCGGTTGCGTTTTGGTAACGGTCCCATGCAATCTCAGTTGCGGTTTGGTACAGAATAACAAAACTCTTTACAGTGGCTGCACTTCATGGGAAGAGATACTGTGATGAGTAAAGGAGAGGCACGAGGCGCATGCCAAACATCGACGCGTGGTGACGGTGCGCGAGGAGAAAAGAGTCACCCCAGGACACGCGGACCAGCCACGTAGACGCAAGAGATTGTTCGGAAAAAGGCTCGTGGCATGCGACCCAAGCTGAGAAGACAAATCCCAGAGGATAAGCGGGCACTGTGAGCTGGGACGCAGAGCCGCGGATACGTGGGAAACGAGCCTCACTATGGCGACGGAGGCAGTAGAACCGCCCAGTTCTGAGGCTGTCGGCGAAGAGGCTTGGGAAGTGGCCTTCCATATCGAAAGAATTGAGTGAGGCTGCCCGGACTCGCCGTAACCTATCACAGCAGTTCTTGGGTGGACTACAGCTCCTCCGCTTTGAGACAGAATGTATGCGGCCCACTCTACAGTCAAGACGCTGCTGACGAGTTAGGCGTAACCTAACCGAGTCGGGGGACATGACGAAGACCGTAACCAATCAGCAATGAGGTCGAATGGCTCGCTCGGCGAAAGAGGGCAATGACGGTAGGAACTTCGAAAAGACGTCGACGACAGGCGTCGACTAACCATAGGCACAGCAAGGGGCAACGAGTTGCAACGCGACAAGCCGTAAGAACATTCCCTTGTAGACGCCATATTCACTTAGGGATAGAGACGGATTTAAACTGGATTACAGTCAGTTTGGGTTTGCCCTTGTACGTGAATTGTTATTGAGGATTACTGAGTTAATGATTGTTATCAAGCTATTGAGTGTTATTCGAGTTTTTGAGTGTTATTGTTACTGCATGTTATTTAATGCGAGTTTTGTGTATTTGCGTCATCCGTCCTGTGCATAAAGTGTGTTTGTATTGCCATGCCCATCTCCAGTCAGTCTCAAATCCATCCTTTGCAAGCGCTCCCGAGATAAGTTCGTGACAGATACCCATCGTTAATGAAAATCAGGGTGGCACATGCAGCATTCGAATGGTGGTTCACGAATCGATTGCCTTGAAATCAGATGCGCGCTCGTGAAATCGAATGATTAGCATTTCTCAGAGCACAAAATTCCAGACGTAATTCGACATTCTGTGAATGAAATGTGCATAATCGAGGCGATCTGAGAAGCAGTTGACGAAATTCCGCGATGCTACTTTCTCTTGTTAGACCCCCCCCCACTTCGGGTTCGTTTCATTGGCAACGCGTGTCTTTGGACATTTTTTTTAACATTCAGAAATTTAAAAAGCTTTAAGCACCATAAATCCCATGCTTCGATTCTCGGACATGCGGGGCTGCTTGCTCAACATGTTTCATGAAATTGTGGCCCTTGAAAAAGCTCTTGAAAACGGTTGATTCGGCTGTAGTGCGGTATTGCTTACAGAGTGAATATTCGTGACTCCCATGACTTATGTTATAAGCGGTCTATACTGTACTGCAGTAACACTTTTTTATTCTCATTTATTTTTTTATTTACAGTAGACTCCCATAAAATGAAACTCTCTTAAATGAAATTGCTGCTTAAATAAAACAACTACCACTAATATCTTAGGTTTCCTCCTTGAATATTGTGCCCCTGTTTATCTCTCAGTAAACAAAACTCCTCTTAAAAGTAACACATTTTCCTGGTCCCTTCAGGTTTCGTTTAAAAGGAGTCTACTGTATATCTGTTCCTTTTGTACAATCCACAAGAGTTAAACATTTTCTTGTTTTACCCCCTTTTATGCAATGCCTCTTGAGCATTGTAAGGTACTCTTAAATAAATAAATAAAATGTGAAACTGATGATGCCAGGAGCACCTACCACTTTCAGGGTCGCAACCAGGTGCGCGACCCCACAGGGCAACACAGAGACCAAGAATGGTGTGAAACTGCCGCATCATGGCAGCGTCGGCATGACCAGGACCTGGAAGATACAAATGAAGGCTTGAAGAGCCACTCACCAGGTTTGACAATTTTGAGCTGACAAGCTCAATGCGTAAATTGGGCATTCACGATACCGTTTGCCAAAATTTGTAATGCTACGCTCCGCAAGACGGGTCAAATTTCAAGATGAACGCTGCTCCTCCTTTCTTTTGCGGACGTGTGCACAGAGAATGAGGGCACGAAATCCACGTATGAATTGTCATAGGTACACGGTAGTGCAGTGACGTTGGTCCTCTACGTAGACGACTGCGCTGTGATGTTGCCAATAGTGGCACGAGACATAGCAAAAATTATTTAACACGACATGCGTAGTTTATGTAATTTGTTGCTTGAAGAAATTAATAAAACTTGAGATAAATAATGAGATGCAGTAATAAAATGTGCGCATCTTTTTTCAATTTTTTTTTTTTTTGCATGAATTGCAATGAGATGAGGGGCTACTGTGCAGGCGTTCCGCATGCATTCATGTCCCCACGGTCAGCGCATCAAGCAGACGCCAGCCATGAAAGTGAAAGTAACTATCCTACGCGTTCGCGCACTCGTTGTGCTCATCTATTCTACCACGTCTAAACCAGCGTTTCCGAACCATCCCGCAGAAACAGGAAGTAGATCACGAAAAAAAAAAACGCCGCTCACATGCTCAGGGGTTGGGCTTGTTCGGGCATGTCATGGGCACGTGACCTCTAGGTCGGATTCCGGAGAGGGTAGGGAAGAGATTTGGCTTGTGAAGGCTACGTGAGGGAGCGTACAAGGGTTGTGAGCTCGCCTCCCCTGATCCTCGTTTCGCGCAGCTTAAAAAAAAAAAAAAAACTATTTTCTCAGCTCATAATGAACCGATTGAAAAAAAAAAAAAAATTGTGCCATAATGCTCCTCATTGGACACACAACAACTTCCATGGTCTAACTGAAATTTGTTGTGGGGCCTGGTGAGTGGCCCTTTAAAGGAACTCAACTAGAGGTTTAGCCAGGGGACCAACAGTTGGTGAACATGAAGAATCAGCCTAGAAATAACATGAATATTATAATACAAAGATGAGACTCTGCCACATCCACTTGGAACATGCAGTCAAACGTGGCCAGACCAAATCCACAGAGAACTACGAAGCAATTTGAGACACATCCACTTGGAACATGCAGTCAAACGTGACCAGACCAAATCCACAGAGAACTACGAAGCAATTTGAGATAAGATTATGAAGAGATCAAAGATCTTGAAGATGATAAATGAATTAGATTTGGGAAAAGCTAGTAAACACACAACTGTTATGGTCAGCCATCTTGCATCGCTTGACGGTACCCGTGTGTAGTCTGTAAATTAAGGGCATGTGAATATTCAAACTTTCAAATATCTTTAGAATGACATTCGCTATTCGATTTAACTCGCACTGTAATTTCCACTATTCGAACTATTCGAACTTCCCGAGGACAAAGTTTGATTGACAATGACTTTTTTTTTATATGCCTCACCCATCAAACTACCACATTTCAGTGAAGCTGCCTTTCAGGCTCTGCTGTGATAGCAGTAGTATTGACTCTAGAAAACGTCTAATCCTACATGGAGATACACTGTGCCATCACAGTGGTGATTTCGTATTTGTAGTAGGTTTCAGCACATCACACTCTAGTATTAAGACAAAGCTACTTTGGCCAGCAAAGGCAAAGCTACTTTGCTTTAGTCGTAAACTGATCAACTCCCAAAGCGCTGGTTTCAACATACCCAGTATATAAGGAGGGTTTAATTAATGCCATTTCAGTAAAAAAAATCCTGAAAAAATTAGAAGAAGAGTTTCAGCCTTCGAAATTTCAATGTTTTTCAAACATTGATGTCTACAGGGCAGATTAGCACCTTTGAATTCGAAGGGAGCATGTCCACCAAATAAGTTGGGCCTCAACAGAAGTTGAGAAGAGAAGTGGAGAAAACAGCCTTTTCCTTTCACATGTAAAAACTTGTCAACACCACACTGGTTCCACCAATATATGTAAATAAATACAATCCCATTTTTGTATTGCCTCATCCTTTATAAAACAAGAGAACACCATTTATACAGCAATTCACCAGTGATGTTCAGTGTGGGAAATATTTCCCTTTTACTGAGGATTATTGCCTGTCATTTTGAGCCAAAGGGAACAAGGAATCTTCGTGATATAGCAGAGAGTTTCCGGAATGGTGAAATTCTTTTATGACAACCTATAATTAGCAGTCACAGTGAGCCTTCATCTTTTGCAATCAGCTCTGGCGCGCGCTCCATGCAAGCATAGCCTTTGAGATTTGTTTCTGATATTTACGTGGAGCGATTTCTAGTTCACTATTGGTGTTAGACTTGAAGCCCACAATGTGCAGTGTACTTACAGTATATGACTTAATAGACAGATTTAGGTGCATGTCTGCAGCAGCCATTTGAACGCAGCATTCCATTGCAAACTGCTGGCAGGCATTGTCTGTACGGCTGCTGCGAACACGCAACCAAATCTGTCTAATAAAGTCATGCTTTTGCTGTGCGGCAGTGAAGAGGCTATAGCCATGATTGCAAAAGTCGCCAGCACGTGAGACATGTATTTATAGTATGTGGGTGCGTGAATCAGGGCGGAAATTAGTACTGTTGTGCAGGTAAATGTGCTAGGAATTTTGTCAACGTTTGCAGGGAAAAATCCCTGAAATAGGGAATCTTTATGTCTCTTAACGGGAATTTTTCGGCGTAGTATGGAACATCACTGCAATTCACCAACCTAGCCAAATTAAACACTTACATGTTCCTATCTCGTAAGAATGTGCTTAGGGACCCTCTGCAACTCTGCAACCTTTTTGCTGTAGTTTTTACATTGAGGTACAGTCGACTCCTGATAATTAAAAGTCGTTTAACTGGATTTGTCGGTTAACTAGAAGTGGAGTGGGGGTGCCGTCAGTTTTGCAGGCAATTCGACAAAATGTCAGTCAATTTGAATTTTTCAATCAAATGCCTAGAGGAAATTGTATTGTGTGATAAATTTGCTTTTAAAGTGCAAAACAACAATGCCAGTGCGGCCGACAACAAAGGGCATTGCAGCTGACCGCAGCGCTGCAGCTCAAAGCTTCAGCTAACTGGCGCCGTTGGCATTGCAGCTGCGTCGAGTGCAGCAGATCATGAAGCGGCAAGGTAGCTGTGCATTCAGCATATGCAATGAGCATGCTCAGCTTAGGGACCCCACATGTCTGGGCCTCCTTGTTTGTCTCATTGAGCGGACTCGGCATTTCCAGGTGCAGCGAAGCTCCCCGTGCATATTTGGTGCGGTCGCAACTATGGCAATTCTTGAGCTTTATTGAACACTGGACTTGGCGATGAAAATGAAAATTTTTAAAGAAGCTGGACATGGAGGCGCCGCCAAGCAAGATATTGCATGCAAATATGGCATTAAGCCTAATAATGTGTCAAGGATCCTCAAAAAAAAAAAAAAGTTCTCGGTACTGGACGCGTCTGAAAATGACCAGTTCAAGATGTTTCGCAAGTGAAAGCACACGGGTGCCCAACTTTAGTTGGAGCAAGCGCTGCTCATCCGGATTCCGGAGGCACAAAGCAACCGACCCCCGCTCAGAGGAGATATCAGTGCAGCGAAAATTTTGTCGCTTGCAACGATGCTAGGCATAGAGAACTTTGCTTTGCCCAGTGGATGGCAAACACGCTTCAAGCAACAACATGACATGGTTTTAAAAAGTGCCAATTGAGGAAGGGCTACCATCAACAGTCTACAATAAACCTCATAACGAATCTGTTTACAAGACATTCAGATACTACATACCAATTGCCATCATTATGTCGATCTCCATATTCCATTGATTGAATGTTGTTTACTACGGATTCTGGTACAACGAACCTTCTGATATAATTGACTGAAATGCGAGGCTAGCAAGGTGGTCAGGACACTTTTGCAGCAGACTTTTCTACCACTGACCTCCTTAATTCAATCAGTTCCGACTTCAAACATTGCTTGGTATACTTTCAGGTCGGGAACAGCACGCCACGGATATTGATGTACCAATTTAAGAACGAGGGCTGCCAATCTGCGGCCCGTTAATGATCAGTTGTGAATAGCTATGACAACAAATAACCTGTGGGCAGCATGCTTGGTCTTGCGTTGTAGATTGGTGACGTGTGAAATGGATAGCTGCGGCCTCTGCTGCTCGGGGCAGTTTCTGCGTGGAGAGTTTGCCCGCTGCTGATGCACAATATGCCCATCCGTGGTTTTGAGAAGGCCACGGGCGATACTATTTATCTCTTTCAATGAAGGCAATAACGGCTTCTTCGTTTTCGCATGTCTGCTAGCATGATGGTATTGTCCGTAAAGTTCAAAGCAAAGTTAGGCCTAGCCACGACTAAGCAAAAAGCTCAGTCGTGGCTAGGCAGTATTATAATAAATACTGTATTTACTCAAATCTAGGCCAAGTCCTTAATTCTAAGCTGAAACCCAAAAAGTCCGAAGCCCAGGAGAGAGAGTGAGAGAGGAAAAAAAAAAGCTTCCCTAAGATGTAGGTCGAACGAAACAGTGAAGACAGCATTCACAAAGAGAAAACAAATATTGAACATGATGATGAAACAACGCAGTTGGCTCATGATGCAAATAACTCTAAAAACATACAGCCGCCAGTCCTGTTGTGTGTTTCTCTGTCGTCGTTTTTCCACAATGCTTCTAGTTATTGGCATCATAAATATGCCGCGCTTGCCACTACCATTGCCGCAATCGCGCAGAAGTCAGAATAACTTATCGGCTCATCTCCGCACTTATCAACATGACGGAAAACTGTTCATGGCACATTGTGGCGTCTGAAAGTTCAGCGAAGCAGTAAAGTTTTGTCGCGCAAAATTTTATTGAGGTACACAGTTAGTACGCACTAAACGGTAGGCATAGGCCGAAAACTACGGCTTAAGCGGTTCGCGTATATTAGTCTCTATGAGACTCGATCGGGGATTTGTTGCAACTACATTTTAACTGCTAGTACACTCAAAG